GGGTGTGATGAGTTGTGTATGGCCTCACCCACCCTATTTCTTTAAAGCTGTGGGTGCTGGCAGTGTGTGTGTGTTGGGGGTACCACTCACCTGCTCTGTGTAGATCCCATCCAGGGTCTTCACCTCTTGGGCGGCTGTTGAGGATTTAGGTTTGTGGTCCCCATAGCCCTGCAAGTGCACCCCACAGAGAGGGGAGACAGTCAGTGGGGTGGAGGGGAGGGAAGCAGCCGGTCCCTCCTGCTAGCAGCTGGGGAGACATTTCGGGCGGTCGTTTTTTTACGTTTTGGGGTGTTGAGGGTGGGAAGGTAAATCCCTCTTACCAGTTCCCCAAAGGTGGGTGAAGGACCCCAGCTGATGGTGCTCTCATCTGCTGCCACGATGATGCTGCTCTTCCTGGGTTGGGGTGCAAGGCAGGGTGACCCCAGGCCCTCCCCAAAACTACCCCACAGGCGGCTGCACCCCCAAAAAAACCCCATGAAATCGAGGTGGGAGGTTTCCTTGGGTGGGAGCTTAGACTTACCCACAGGCCAGGCTGCGGATCTTCCAGCCGCAGAGGTCCTGCACAGCTTTGGGGTACATGGTGGACTCGCGGGAGGTGTTGGTGGCCCCCCAGAAAAACAAGCCACCTACAAAACCCCAATATCATCCATCAAGCCCTGGCTACCTCAACCTCCCCCCAAATAACACTGGGTTTGCTCCAGCCCCCCCAGACCTGTCTCGCTGACGGCGAAGGAGCACGTGTAGCCGGCGTAGATCTGCGCCGCCCCGCGCCCCGGGAAGTCAAAGAGCTTCACCAACCGTGGCACCATCTCATCCTTCTGCTCGGCGTGGCCCAGCCTCCCGTAACCCCCAAAGCCCCAGGAGAAAACACGCTTCTGAGAGTCCAGGACGAGCTGGGGATGGAGAAATGTCACCCCCAAAACCCACGAACAGCCCGAGAGCCGCCCAGCCCGCGCTCAACGGCCTCGAGGCTGCTAAATGCACCCTGCGAAAATTTAACCTTAAAAGCTGTCCTGCAAAGAGTGAAATTTAAATCCAGGCTGCAAAGCTTGATCCTTAAATGTCAGCTGCAAAACTTTACCCTTCCAAGCACGTTACATGTATCTATCCTAAAACGCAGCCTGCAACTCTAGCCTTAAATGCACCCTGCAAATATTTACATTTTAAATGCACCCTGCAACTATTTATCCTTAAAGGCACCCTGTGAATCTCTGGCCTTAAAAGGAGGCTGCAAATCTTGACCCTTAAATGCTCCTGCAAGTATTTACCCTGAAATGCACAAGGCAGATTATTATCAATGCATGCTGCAGATCATACAACCATAGAACAGGTTGGGTTGGGAGGGACCTTAAAGTTCATCCTGTTCCAACCTCCTGCCATGGGCAGGGACACCTCCCACTAGAGCAGGTTGCTCCAAGCCCCATCCAACCTGGTCTGGAACACCTCCAGGGATGGAGCATCCACAGCTTCCCTGGGCAACCTGTTCCAGTGTCTCACCACCCTCACAGTGAAGAACTTCCCAATTTCTAATCTAAATCTCCCCTCTTCCAGTTTAAAGCCACCACCTCTTGTCCCATCACTACAAGCCAAACCCCTCCCTAGGTTTTCTGTAGGCCTCATTCAGGCACTGAAAGGCCCCCAGCAGCTCTCCCCAGCTGGAGCCTTCTCCTCTCAGCTGCCCCAGCCCAACTCTCTCCTGCTGGGCTCCCAGCAGAGGGGTTCCCCCCTCGGGGCATTGCTGGGGCTCCTCTGGCCCCGCTCCAGCACCTCCCTCTCTCTGCTGTGCTGAGGACTCCAGAGCTGCCCCAGCACTGCATGAGGGGTCTCCCCAGAGCTGGGGTCATACCGTGTGGTTGGCCCCACAGGCCACGTCCCGCACCACCACGTTGGGGACGGGCAGGATCTGCCCATCTTTGGTCTTCTCGATGAAGATGGCCACGCGGCGCGGCACCAGCTCGCAGTCGTACTCGATCCGCTGAGCCCTGGCAATGAACTTCCCATCCGAGTTGTGCCCTGGGGGGGACACCAAAAGGGGGTCACACCCCCCCCCAGCCTGACCCCACACCCCCTTATTTCCACATCCTCTGCCAAAAATCCCCCCTTTCACAAAGCTCTTTATTAGCACCTCCCACCGCGCTCTTTTTGCTGGAGGTGAAGGGTTGGTTGCTCAGAGGGGGAAACTGAGGCAGGGAATTCCACCCTCCCTCCCCTCAATCCCATAATAGCCCCCAAAATGTCACGAATCCCCCCCAAAACAGCACCGTACCCAGCTGCCCGTACTCGGGGCACCCGAAGGAGTAGAGGTTGCCTTTGCAATCCATGATCATGCTGAATTCAGCCCCACAGGCCAGTTTGGTGATGGGCTGCCCGTTGTACATGATCTGGGGGAGAAAAAGGGGTTAAAAAAAAAAAACTCCGAGAAAAACAGCAAAAAAAAAAATGAATTTCCCAGGGGAAACCTCCCCAAATCCTCAATTCTGGGGTTTTAGTTTAAAATCCTCTTTGCATTTATTTGCAACAAAACTGCCAATGAAGCAGCATCTGTAAGAGGGATGTTCTTGAGCCCTAAAGGGGTTTGGGCTCTGCTTGGGATTTTTTTAATGAGAAACCACCCAAATCTACTGGTTTTTGACCAAAAAAAAAACACAAAGGCAAGGAAATACCTGCGTAGGGCTGGGCACGGCGTCCGTCTGGTTCCCCAGCCCCAGCTGCCCCATTTTATTCTCCCCGAAGGCGAAGACTGAGCCGCTCTCTACAACACAAAACCCAAGGTTTTTGGGGGCAAACAGGGCTGATTCCAACTTTTTTGCCCAAAAGTTGGTGTTTTCCTAGGCGAAGACTGAGCCGCTCTCTACGACACAAAACCTGAGTTTTTTTGGGGCAAACGGGGCCAATTTCAACCGTTTTGCCCAAAAGTTGGTGTTTTGCCCCCAATACCTGTGAGAGCCAGGGTATGGTTCCGTCCACAGGCAGCCAGCACAATGGCTTCACCCCCCAGCACCTCGATGAGCTTCGGGGCTTCCACCCGCTTCGTGTCCCCGTGGCCCAGCTGCCCTTTTTCATTACGACCTGAGCAAAAATCATGTTTTTTTGGAGCAAAACCAGGATTTGGAAAGTGGGAATATTTTTAAAGTTGTTTTTTTTTCTGCCCCCCCACCCCCCTTGAGGTGCCCATCGCTCACCCCAGCTCCAGAGCTTGCCCTCGGTGGTGATGAGGAGGCTGTGAGCGGCGCAGGGACCCGACACCACGCTCCGCACCTGGATACCTGAGAGACACCCGTACCTGTGCGGCCCCCACAAGTTCTGGCCCAGATTCCGATATGCAACTGGATTAATTAAAAAATAAGAAATTAATTGAACAATGAAGTCAGTGGAAACGCAGCAAAATAAGCAGAAAAAAGGAATTAAAAAAAGCGGTTGCAAAACGTTTTGCTTCGCGCGACACCCGGCGCAGCCCAAGTTCAACCATAGATTATTCAGCTGTAAAAAAAAATAACCTCTCTAAGAATGTTAATTAATATAAATAATAATGAAACTTAAATGTCTAAAAATGAGCAGGAAAAATAATTACATATAAATAAACAGAAAAAAGGAATTCAAAAATTCAGTTGAAAAATGTTTTGTTTCGCTCGACACGCGGTGCAGCCCAAGTTCAAACCTCGATTATCCAACTGTAAAAAAAAATCCTAAGGATATTAATTATTATTAATAATAAATATAAATGTCTGAAAATTAGCAGGAATATTAAATATAAATGCATTAAAATAAGCAGAAAAAAAGGAATTCAAAAATTCAGTTGA